CCCAGTTTCAGCGGCGGGTATCATGAACACCCAGCGCCTCGGCGCTCCTGAGGATTGGCAGGCACAGCAGCAGGCTCAACCCTGCACGGCAGCGCTCCTGCCGCGGGCCGCCGGGCGCGCCCACCTGCAGGCTGTTCCGCGCTCTGCATCTCCATGCCCTGGGCTGCGCCGTCCTGTCCGCTCTGCAGCAGGCTGGCTTGGGTGCCGCTGCCCGACTGCGTGCCGTTGCCCAGCAGCGCTGCTCCGCTGGCCGCAGGCTGGCTGGTGCCGCCCTCCGGCAGCCCGCTGGACAGGCCCATTGCATTTGCTAGTGCCTTCCCGGTGAGCGGCCCTCGAAACATTGTGCCGCTTGGAGCCTGAGAGGTCTGGCTGGCGTCCGTGCTGCGTCCGGCGCCGCCGCTAGCGCCGTCGGGCGGCGGGGAGCCGGGGGGTGGCGAGCCGCTGACACTGCCGTCAGAGCCTTCCTGGGCAAGCACACAGGCAGAGTTGGTATGGCCCCAGAGCACGAACAGGAGCAGCAGGCCTAGGAGGGGTCGAGAGGCCATCTGCCGGGTTGGGCAGCGCAGCAGGTTCTTCTCAAAGGTATGCACGTGGCCCGCAAATACCTTGGTGCACCGATTTGCAGGTGCATAAGGCCGCATGTCCCACACCCTGCAGGTAGGCATGAAAGAGGCCAGCGCAGTCTGCAGATGTCGCCGAGCCCAAGGCAAACAGGACACCACCCGGGGGGGGGGCAGCATGACACTCGAGCGGCAGCCTGCACGTAGTCAGCCGGCTCATTGCCGCCACCGCTGCTGCTCATACAGTAAGCAGACAGCGGAAAGTCTTTGCTAGCCTCACCTCAGCGTATTGTCCATGCTGTTTGTGAGCAGGTGTGTGCCGTCAGGGGACAGCCGCATGCCAGTGATGCTGTCACTGTGCCCTGCCAGACTCACGCTGACTTCTTCACGCCGAAGGTCCCACACATTCACCACATTCTCAATGCCTGCCGTATAGATCTGATCGCCCGCCTCTGAAAAGGCGACACTCAATATCTGCATGGAGAGCCGGCAACCACGGCGTCACAAAGAGCCTGGCGAAGGTTTGGCAAATCCAAGTTGAGGTACGCATGGCAGGCACTCATTCCCCCATGCAGCACTCCCCCCGCCCACCAGCTCTGCATCACTGACACTCCTACCTGGTAGCGTTCGTCAAAGGTTTTGACTGAATTGCGTGCGCGAAGGTCCCACAGCTTTGCCTGGCAGTCGTCACCGCCAGACACCACCAGCGGAGGTCCTCTCCGCGCCGGGCAGCAGCTGTTCACAATGTCCTTGTGCTCCTGCAGCCGCTTCACCTCCGTCCCCGTCTCTGCGTCCCACACCCGCACCGTCTTGTCCGGGCTACAGCTGATCAACTCCTCACCATCCGGTGTCCAGTGTACCTC